TAGGAAAAAATGGCTGATTCCAAGGCTGATTCAGGGAAAGTACAAGGTAAACCTAAAACATCTTGTTAAACCAGAAGCAAGGAAGCACGTAAAGAATGGTGGTGACATGTCAAAAGGACACAGAGCTGGGCGGAAGGAGCTCCCACTAGCCAAACCTGGGACAATTTGAACATCAAAATAAATCACAAGAGTAAGAAATAATAACACACTGCATAAAATAGTAAGCAATGAGCCCACAGTGATGTAAATAAATAAGTAAACAAATAAATGGAATGCTTGATGAGAAATGGGATATTTACATTGTCTCCAAGTTAATCCCCCTCAACATACTTAATAATTACAAAGTGGAAAAGATTAATGTCATTGTAGAGAAGCCTGGCTGACACCACCTTAGTTAAGGGACAAAGTGAACATCACCAGTAATGGGACAAATCAAAGTTGCATCACCTGATAGGACACAGCTGCACTTCTGTAATATTCCTGCCAAAGATGCATAAGCTAAATCTAATCACCCGGAAACATCAGACAAACCCAAACTGAGAAACATTCTACAAAACAGCTAGCTGGTAATATTCATAGGGGTCAAAGTCATGTTAGTCGAGGAAAGATCAAGGAACTGTTCCAGACTGTAGGAGACTGAAGAGTTATAACAGGGGCTGGCCGAGTGGCTCAGTTGGTTAAGAGCACAAACTCTGAGCAACAGGGTCGCCGGTTTGATTTCCACATGGGCCAGTGCGCTGTGCCCAAGCTGAGCTGCCGCTGAGCTGCCAACAGGTGGCAGGATGACTCAGCTGGTAAGAGCATGTGCTCCTAACAAGGTTGCCAGTTTGACTCCCTGCATGGGATGGTGGCTATGCCCACCTGCAACTAAGATTGAACACGGCACCTTGAGCTGAGCGGCCGCGAGCTGCCGACAGGCAGCCGGATAGCAACTTAGACTTGGAGCTGAGCTAGCTGCGACCTCCACCACTAAGATTGAAGGACAACAACTTGGTTGTCCTCTTCCCCAATTCCCCAACACTGTTCCCTTTCCCCAATTCCCCAATAAAATCTTTTAAAAAAATAAATGAGGGCCGGCCGAGTGGCGCAATGGTTAAGAACTGGTCTGGGACGCCAGAGGGCCCCGGTTCGGATCCCACATATGAGGGCCAGTGACACTGCCCTCCACAGCTAAGATGCTGAACAACAGCTCAACCTGGAGCTGGGTTGCCATGAGTCACCGGCGACGGCGTAGGCTGCAGCCCCTGTGGCAGTGGGTTGCCATGGGCTACTGTGTGTAGCCAGCAGCCAGCGTGAGCGGCCAGCAGCCGCAGTGAGCGGCCGTCCAGAAGCCGGCGACTGATCTGCCTCGCCCAGGAAGAGCGCAATGATGGTGCCAACTTGGGCCAGTGAAGCAACGTCCTCCACAACTAGACTGAAGAACAAAAGGACAGCAACTTGTCTGTTCCGCTTCCCCCAATTCCCCAGCACTGTTCCCTTCCCCCCAATACCCCAATAAAAAAAAAATCTTTAAAAAAAAAAAAATAAATGAGTTATAACAAGTAAATGCCATGTGTGATTCTGAACAAATCCTTTTGCTATAAAGGATATTATTAGGACATTGCTATAAAGGATATTATTGGGACAGTTGATGAAACTCGAGTGAGATCTGAGGATCAATAGTAGTAGTGCATCAGCATTAACTTCCTGATTTTTGTTTTGTTTTGTTTTGTTTCAGCTGAGCCATCCTGCCACCTGTTGGCAGCTCAGTGGCTGCTCAGCTCGGGCTGGAACTTGAACCACTGTTGCTCAGAGCTCAAACTCTTGAGCGAGCTCTTAACCAACTGAGCCACTCAGCCAGCCCTTAACTTCCTGATTTTGATAGTTGATGAAGCAGAATGTTCTTATTTGTAGGAAATACACACGGAAGTATATATGGAGGTGACAAGGCATCATGTCATCAGCTTATTCTCAAATGGTTCAGAGGGGGAAAAAAGCTCTTTGTATTGTACCTGTAACATTTCTATAAACCTAAAGTTGTTTCCAAAGAAAATATTATATACCCCCCACAAAAGGATCCTGATTGGCCCTGCTTTTGGCACATATCTACTCTAGACCAATGGCTATGTCCAAGGCCTTGAGGCTCTCTGATTGGCCAGTGTGGGTGGTATGCCCACTCCTGACACAGGGAGCCTGTGTGAGCAGCTGGAGTAACAGTCCCTAGGATCAGATGGACTGGAAGATGGCAGTTCCTTAAGGAGCGGATTCAAGACAGACAAAAAAAGTAACAGCTGTCTATTGTATCCAGGTTACACTATTGTTATTTACTTTTAGAAAATAATTCAATCATTTAAAAGCATATAACCTTTGATCCAGTAATTCCACTTCTTGGTAATTTATTTTTAGAAAATAATCCCCATGTGCAGTGATGGAAGCTTTATATTCAAAGATGTTGGTTCTGGTGTTATTTAGGATACTGAAATACTAAAAGCCACCTATGGTCCCAGTATGGAAGAAAAGCTGAGAAAGGTTGACCTGTAGCGGGATGACTGACCAGCACTGAGGCCATTTTCACAGTCAGTGGACCTCTGAGTATTCTAACCATAGGCCTCTACATTTCCCTCTCTTGGTGAGACCATGTCAGTCCACCCAACTTGTCCAAGCAACACAATGAGTTATGACCTCATATCCTTGAGAATGACTCAAAGTAAAAAGACTGACTATTGCAAGTGTTGGGTAGAAGGAATGGTACTCAACAATAAAAAAGAATGAATTACAACATAAATACATCTCCAAAACACGTTATGCTGAGGGAAAGGAGCCTTACATGCGTACACACTGCATGATTTCACTTCATTTATGTGAAGTTCAACAACAGGGAAAATTAATCTCTAGTAATAGACATCAACAATGATTACTTCTGGGGAGTGGGGTATTGACTGGGAAAGGGTATCAGGGAACTTTTGGGGGTTGTAGAAATCTTCTGTATCTTGATTTGCATGGTGGTTACATTGGAAAGTACTTTTAAAATCTCTTGGGTTTTACTGTGTGTAAAATATGCCTCTATACAAAAAGAATTTAATTTAAAAATTGTTTTAGAGGCTCCCTAGTTCTGAAAGACAGATGAAGAGAGAGGTGCATCTATTATGCAATAGTACTTAACTATTTGCAGTACATTTTCATATTCATGGTTCTAGTATCCAAAGTCCATACAGGGGTGTCTACTTTCTCACCAAGTTCTCCCCTTAGCGTTCCTCCCATGAGTCCCTCTGTTCCAGTCCCACTGACCACTTGCTGTTCCTCAAACAAGCCAGACACGTCCTCCCCTCAGGGCCTTTGCACTTGCGGTTCTCTCAATCTGGAATTGTCTTCTCCCAGAGTCTGGCTTGCTCTTTCACTTCCTCAGTTCTATTTTCCTTCATTACTCTCATCACCACCTGACACTGTACACAGGGACTTGCTTATTATCTGTCTCTTCTACTAGAATGTCAGCTCCATGAGGCAGGAACTTTGTCTGTTTTGTTCACTGCTGTGTCCCCAGGACCTAGAATAAAGTATTCGCTAGGTATTTGTTGAGTATTTGGTCTTAGCGGGCTCTCATAGCAACCCTGGGAGATTTGGGGAGAATGTAAAGTTTAAAAAGGATAATGATTATAAACAAAAAGCTTGGGGCCTGCCGGATGACTCAGTTGGTTAAGAGCGCAAGCTCTGAGCAACAGGGTCGCCGGTTCGATTCCCACATGGGACAGTGAACTTCACTCAAGCTGAGCTGCCGCTGAGCTGCCAACGGGTGGCCAGATGGCTCAGCTGGTGAGAGCGGGTGCTCTTAACAACAAGGTTGCTGGTTTGACTCCCACATGGGATGGTGGGCTGTGCCCCCCTCCCACTCCACCCCCACCCCCGCAACTAGATTGAAAGCTGCGACTGGACTTGGGAGCTGAGCTGCGCCCTCCACAACTAAGATTGAAAGACAACAACTTGACTTGGAGCTGATGGGTTCTGGAAAAACACAATGTTCCCCTTCCCCAATTCCCCAACACTGTTCGATTCCCCAATTCCCCTATAAAAATCTTAAAAAAAAAAAAAGACACACAGTATATGGTCAATAAATGTGAGTTTTTTTAATCTCCCAAACTCTTCTCTAGGGTGTGTAGACACGGATTTATTATCATCCCCATTTTTTAAGTTAGGAAAATAAAGTTCTGAATGGTCTAGTGACTTTCCCGAGAGCAACCTACAATAGGCAAATCTCAATGCTGAGTCTGGGTCTTTTGATCCCAAATGGCCCTTAATGCAGGCAGCAGCCATTAGGGAAATGGCCAGACTATCCCATGGAGGGCAGAGGTGTTAGCACAAGGACTAATTTACTGACTACTAATGGATACCAGCCAGGTAGACTCTCCCCCTCCCCCAATGTCACACCCTGGAGACTTATGGCAGGATATGTACAACTCTCTATTAACTTTGCCAGAGAGGAGGAAGACATAGCAGTGATGTAGATAAGCTCAAGGTCACAGGTATTTGACACCTGAACACATCCCTCGTTTTCTTTTGACATCAGACACACATTCCCAATTATGTATGATCTCAGTACGTTCACATGAATTTTTGTGTCAAGGCTGTGTACTCCATGTTTGTAGGGCATATGAGTTTAGGGCAGTGGGACTAGGGCCAGGGAGGAGCTCAGGCAGTTGAAGGCAGCCAACTGGAGAACAAACACGTGCCCTAATGTCTACAGCACAAGTTCTCCAGGATGGAAAATGGCAAATCGCTGTGAGTGGAATAAATGAAAATGGGTGGACAGGGGTGGCTGGGTGGCTCACTTGGTTAGAATGCGTGATCTGAACAACAAGGTTGCCAGTTCAATTCTCACGTGGGATGGTGGGCTGCACCCTCCCCCCGCCCCCCCCCACACACACATGCACACACAACTAGACTGAAAATAGCAACTGGACTTGGAGCTGAGCTGTGCTCTCCACAACTAGACTGAAGGACAACGACTTGACTTGGAGCTGATGGATTCTGGAAAAAACACACTGTTACCCAATAAAAATAAAAAAAATAGAAAATGAGTGTACAGACCAGCACTGCTTGGCCCTTTAAGTGCTAATATTGGACCCATCTCAGTGTCTGATTTAGCTGATAGCACATCCCAGCTGACCTCTGACTTCCTCTTATTACCCTGTTAATCCTGATTGCCCTAACCCATCTGACCTACTCCCCGACTTCCTCTGATGACGTCACTACTCTCCAGATCAAATGTTCCAGACCTCTCTCTCCACCCTCACTGGACCCGAGATTCTCCTCCAAAAGTGCTGTTTCTGCATGTCCAGCCTGACCACGGGGGGTTTCACTTCAGATCCAAGAGGGCATCTAATATCTCATAATGGAAACCCCAACGCTGGGGAGGACTCTGCAGTCCACGTGCAAGGAGGTCATCTTTTTGTAAATCTGAGATGTGTAAGGATTAGTAGGAGTCACACCCCTTTGGCAATCTGAGAAAAGCTATGGGCCTTTTCCCCAAGGAAACACGCATTCCCACAGGAATTTAGTGGGTTCCTGCATCCCTGGAAGCCCATCCACAGAAACTGGGTAACATCTGCTTTAAGCACACAAGCATCCTATTTGTCAGAGGCTTTGTTACTATTCCTTAAAACATTCCAATGATCTGAAGGTTTCCAACCTTTAGGTGATTTGGAGAGGGGCGGTGTTTCCTCCTTAATGACAGAGGAGTTTGTGTTGCGAGAAGGCAGATCGAGTGGTAAATTAAGCTTAGGTCTTGTCTGGGAGAATGAAGATGAAAAGAATAGCTCAAGTCTCGTGTTTTGCCAGAAGGAAAAGGAACACGGCGTCCTCACGCTCAAGGCTTGTTCTAAACTTAGCCAGCTCCCGTGGTTCCAAAGTTGGCAAAATGAGCTCTGCACCATCCTAATAAACATGCCGTGGTGCAGTGACTCACTGAGACAGCAGCCGCATGTGGGACATGGCTCCGTTCGCCAGCCAGACAAGGGACTGTGGTAGGCTGAGACCCCCAACCCATCAGGGATGTCCAGTATAGGGGTGAGGATGGCCTGGGCACCAGCATGCCCTAAAGAGCCAGAGAGCCTTACCAGTGGCAAAACCTAACTTCTCTTCCTACAGAGAAGGAAAATAAGGCTAGGATGGGGGCGGGGGGAAGGGTACTTGCAGAGCAAAGGGGAGGAACAGGTGATGTCACACAGTGAGGGAGGGAGCCATCTTGGGGACTTTATCTGATGGGACTTAGCAACTATCAGGGCATGGGACAAGGGAGACAATGGTGCCACATGGGCACACCAACACACCTAAGGCGGATGGCATTCCTAGATGCCAAGACTTTTCCCACTATTTACATATCTGGGTATTAATAGAAGGTGACTTCTAGAAGGAGAGACAGGTAATGCTCCTCTGCTGTACCTGGTCCTGGTCAGTCTGTGCTGGAAGCCTGCTGTCAGCTCAAGGTACGGCACTCCTGGAGAAGTGGGCAGTTTGGTGGGGTTGGCTGGACTTGGGGTTCACCATTAAAGGAGAAAACTGAAACTAATGGGCATGGTATGGTCACCATCTCCAAAGAGTCGGTGGGCTCTCCAGTTTGTCAGACTCTCTCTGCAGAGGCTGGGATAATCCTGAGGACACAGGCTCAGTAGGGTGGGAGGGACCTTCTGGGGTCAGGTGGGTGCTGAAGGTTCCTTGCAGTAATCAGAAAGAGTGTCCATCTGAGCAGCAAGTTGAAGTTGCAGCTGGGAAGGGAAATAGCCCAGGGCATCGTACAGCAGCAGGTCCGAGAGGCGATGGAGTCTGGGACAGGTGGCCCAGGCCAGGAGGCTGAGCATTGGAACGGTGCAGAACATGGGCCCTGAACAGGGCAGGAACGTACAAGCTTGCTCCAGGTGGGGAGTGGCCTCCTGGCACCTAGGGAGGTCAGACGGCCCAATGGGGTGGGCTCTGCTGGGCATCATAGCAGAAGCATGATGTCATGTTAGTCATGTTCCATGATGCCCTCAGGAGAAAACTAGGACTGATGGGAGAAGCTTGAAGAAGTCAATCCGATGTAAGGAAGGGTTCCTCAGCCACGCCCACAGCTACTGAGCAACGAAATGGAAGGTGGTGAACTCCCTGGCATTAGAAGGCTTCAAGCAGATCCTCTTGGTGGGAAGAGTAGAGAGCAGATTCGAGCACCCTTCAGACCTCAACAGTCTTTGGCTTGGATTCCTCCAGGAGCCTTGTGGAAGGAGAAGGGCAGAAATTAATTTCTCCTTTTCCATAGTGGGAAAGTCAAGACCCAGACTGAACGCTGCACCCAAGGTCACAGAGAAAGGCAGCAGAACTGGGAACAAAACCCACATCTGCTCCTTCCCAAGCCCCAGACTTTCCCATCTGCTTTCCCAACTGGCGTCCCAGCCTGTGCTATTTTGGGCTGTCTCCTCCACCAGGACAGAGGGCGCCTATGGGACCGGCACGGCTTTGCCTGCTGGCTGCCAGGTAAGGCTGGTAGAACACCAAAGGGCCTATCCTCCGTCCAGGTCAAAAAGGGGGAGAAAAACGTGTTACACACTCACCCAGCCCTGGCTCTGTCTCTGTCCCCTCAAGAGGAAAGGTAACTGTGCAGGCCATTTACTTACTCTGTCCCTGACTCTCTTAGCGAAGAAAACGACGTTGACTTCTTTGGAGAAAGTTCAAGTTCCACAGGTGAGCCTTGTCCTCCAGGCCACCAGGGAGACCCAGCCGCTGGCTTAGATCTTTGTTTCCCAAGTGAGTTCCTTAGTGCACCAGTCTTTCAAAAGGTTCCTTGAGGAAAGGCGTGCTCGTGTGTGTGTGTGTGTGTGTGTGTGTGTGTGTGTGTGTGTGTGTGTGTGTGGCTTTATTGAGCTATAATTTACATACCATACAATCCATACGTTTAAAGCATACATTCAATGGATTCTAGTATAGTCACAGAGTTAGTTCAACCATCGCCACAGTTGATTTTAGAACATTTTCATTTCTAAAAAAAACTCTGTTCCCTTCAGCTATCATCCTCTAATCCCCCATCTCTCCAGCCTTAGGCAACCACTATTCTACATTTTGTCCCTATAGATTTGCCTATTCTGGGCATGTCATATAAATGGATTCATATAATATGTGGTACTTTGTGTCTGGCTTCTTTTATTTAGCTTCTTTTATTTGGCTTATTTTATTTGCAAACTTTGTTTGCAAAGTTCAGCCATGTTGTAGCATGCGTCAGTGCTTCAGTCCTTTTTATGGTCGAATAATATTCCACTGTTTGGATATGCCACATTTTGATGATCTATTTATCAGTTGATGGACAGTTGAATTATTTCCACCTTTTGGCTATTATGATTGTGGAAAGGTTCTGTGTCCAAATAAATTTGGGAAGCAATGCCAGCTCTGTCACCTTCTTGGAGATTCACAATGCCATGTAGCATATTAAAGGCTCTGAGAAGTCCTGCAATAAAGTCAAGTGTTTATCTTTTCTCAATCTAGACTTCCCTCACAATCCTTTACACTGGAATCCCAGGAATCTGTGTGTCAAGGTACACACTTAGAAAAACAGTGACTTGGCTGAAGAAAGGCTGCCAACTTGGAATCTCTACTAAAAGGAAGTGGGTTATGAAAAGGGTTCCAGCCCCTGTCCTGCTGCTGCCACTGGAGGGGCTATTGGATGAGCTGAAAATGCCATGAATCCTGAGAATCCAGTAGATTGGGAGACCTTGTCAGGCTATGGCCTGTTCATTCATTTGCTTCTTTGGACATTAAACCTACATAGTTTAAGTACCTATGGAGCTACAACAAAAGCTTTCAAACATCTATGATGGGCCGGCTGAGTGGCGCGTTGGTTAAGAACTGGCTTGGGATGCCAGAGGGCCCCGGTTCGGATCCCACATATGAGGGCCAGTGACACTGCCCTCCACAGCTAAGATGCTGAACA